CCACCTCCCCATCGGCCCTGCCCTGAGTGTGACAGGGGGGAGCTCCCCAACACCTCAATCGGCCCTACTACGAGCGTCACTGAGGGTGGCATTGCAACCTCCTGATCCGCCCTGCTCTGTGCATGACAGGGCGCGGCGCCCCAACTCCCCAATCGGCCCTGCTCTGAGCCCGACCAGGGGCTGCACCTAGGGAATGGGCCTGTCCTCTGCCACCCCAGAGCAGGCCTAAGCCAGAAGGTCATTATCTCCTGAGGGGTCCCAGACTGAGAGAGGGCACAGGCCGTGCTGAGGGACCCCCCTCCCCCCCCGAGTGCACATTTTTTGTGCACCGGGCCCCTAGTCTATACTAATAGAAGGGTAATATGCTAATTAGACCAGACATCTTCCAGACGTCCTTCCGGACAAAGCCATGGTAGCCGGGATGAGGCAGAGGTAGTTAGGAGCGATCAGGCCAGCAAGAGAAAGCAGTTAGGTTAGGGGCAATCAGGCCGGGAGGGGAGAGCAGTTAGGGCAGTGGTTCTCAACCTGTGGGTCGTGATCCCTTAGGTGGTCGAACAACCCTTTCACAGGGGTCTCCTAAGACCATCCTGCATATCAGATATTTACATTATGATTTATAACAGTAGCAACATTACAGTTATGAAGTAGCAACAAAAATAATTTTATGGTTGGGTCACAACATGAGGAACTCTATTTAAAGGGCCAGAAGGTTGAGAACCACTGAGTTAGGGGGATCCCTGTGGGATTGGGCCTAAACCATCAGTCGGACATCCCCTGAGGGGTCCTGGATTGGAGAGAGTGCAGGCCTGGCTGAGGAACCGCCCCCCCCCCATGCATGAATTTTGTGCACTGGGGCTCTAGTCCTTTAATAATAACAGAGGCTAAACCACAACCTATTTTTGTTTTATTTCTAGTCTCACTTGTCCCCTCCTGCTCTCAAACATGGGATCCTATTCTTCAGCCTTCCTCACCTGTGTCTAGTTCCAATATGACATTATGCTTTCTTCTCTGGACTGAGGGTCTTTGCACTTGTAATTCTCTCTGCCTTTAATACTATTTTCCTTCCATTTCCCTTTGGCTAATGTTACTTCTTCAATATTTAGCTCTACTTTTCTTCACCAATTCTGACTTAAGTTTCTTTCTCTGTATTCACTTATCTTCCTGGATATGGTTCTATCATGGACTTATTGTGCTGTGTTGTAATCATCTTTTTACTTACCTGTCATTCCCACTAAACTACAACTCCTTCATGTCAGGGGCTATTTCTTCTATCTTTCTTTCCCCAGCACCTATCACAGTTCCTTGCAAAAGTTATGTGAGCAATAAATCTTTATTGAATTAAGTGAATTTTAATAATAGAGCATCTATTTATGCTTGGAGCTGGTTGTTTGAGATTATAGCTTAATTTTATCAGTATGATATATAAGAGGTTGTAGTTGAAATGGAGGAGTGCTCATAAAAGAAATTGATATGATTTTTCCTACAATGCATGGAAGATTTTCCTATTCATAGCTCTCTTGGGCCTACAGATTTCTGTTTATGCTTAAATGGATCAAAGAAATAAGATCAAGACACAATAAAACAATAAGAGAGTTTATTCCCTCTGAACATGGGTAAACTTCTCTAAGTTTTTGAATGATTATTACTTAATGCAAGAAACCAATATTTACGTTGCTTCATTTTATGCTTCATTATAGCTGCTGTGAGTGCTTTGGCTAAATTTGGGGCTCAGAATGAGAATCTCCTCCCAAGCATCCTTGTACTCTTACAAAGGTAAGTAAAAGAATGTCATTTTTTTTGGAGTTTTTTTTTTTTTTTTTTTTTAAATAAGAACTGCCATATGGCTGAATAGAGTTCCTCATTGTACCATATCAAATGCATTACAGGACCTAAGAATAGAGCTGATGGAGTAAGTGAGGGGGCAAATGGCATTTTTGTTCTCTTCTAGTAATTTTGTGTATGCTAAGTACTTATAAAATTTGATTTTGAATTTCTCTTTGTGTGAGTTTGAGAAAGTGACTTAAAGGTGTATGCCTCAATTTGTATATTAAGGGCTAACTTCAAAGCGATTCACTAAGTAGAGTTGCAAATTTCAGCTTCTCATGGTCTCTCTGACTCCCTATTTGATGAGGAAAAGACTTGATGCGAGCAAAAACTGATTATATCTTATTAAAAGATAAAATTTACAAACCAAAGGCTGGTTGGTTTAAATGAACAATGCTTGGATTTTGAGTGCTTTTTAATATCCTTAGAAAGTCTAACACTCCCATTTTTTAATTATAAAGAAGCCTAAGTCTTTATCAGGATCATGTGGTTGCAGACCCAAGAAAAACTCCAAACTTCTATCTTATGTTATTGATTTCTTCCTAATTATTTTTTTAATTCTTTATTATTATTATTTTTTAAAATATATTTTATTGACTTTTTAGAGAGGAAGGGAGAGGGATAGAGAGTAAGAAACATCGATGAGAGAGAAACATCGATCAGCTGCCCAAGTTCTCCCCCCACCCGCCACCCTCCCCTACTTTCCCTCTGAGGTTTGAGGGTCTGTTCGATGCTTCTATGTCTGGATCTATTTTTGTTTGTCAGTTTATGTTGTTCATTATATTCCACAAATGAGTGAGATCATGTGATATTTATCCTTTTCTTCCTAATTATTTTAATGCCTATTTATATGGTGCTTATTTACCAATTGGGAGCAGTACTCAAGATTTATGGTGATTTTAGGATACACTGTTGGCTGTTGTTGAGTTCTTTTATAATAAAGGTAGCGTCAGCCCTAACCGGTTTGGCTCAGTATATAGAGCATCGGCCTGCGGACTGAAGGGTCCCAGGTTCAATTCCAGTCAAGGGCATGTACCTTGGTTGCGGGCACATCCCCAGTGGGAGGTGTGCAGGAGGCAGATGATTGATGTTTCTCTCTCATCGATGTTTCTAACTCGCTATCTCTCCCCCTTCCTCTCTGTAGAAATCAATAAAATATATATTTTTAAAAAAGGTAGTATCACATGGCCTGGTTGTGTTTTTTAGACGTGGTGGTAAAGCTCTTGGGAATCTTTAGGGTGCTGTGTGACATGCCTATTTGTATCCCCTGGACAGGTGTATGATGGATACTGATGATGAGGTCCGAGACAGAGCTACTTTCTATCTGAATGTGCTGCAGCAGAAGCAGATGGCATTGAATGCTACATATATCTTCAATGGTCAGTGAGAGCCACGGATGTAGACAAATATACTTTTGGTATCTTGGAAGCATGTCTTAAGATGATTTGCATATGAGCTGACTTTACTAGGAAAAATGCTTCTTTTATGTTTTTGACTGCACTTCCATTTCTAGGGAAATCTAAAGTATGTAAAAAAAGAATATTGCTTGCTCCTGATCCTTTTTGAGCTCATTCTTGAATGGGTTTATCTTTTCTCCCTTTTCTTATGCTACTAGAGGCTTGGTGCATGAAATTTGTGCCCTGGGGGGGTGGAGGGGAGGTGTCCCTCAGCCCAGCCTGCATCCTCTTGCAGTCTGGGAACCTTCAGGGGATGTCCAACTACTGGCTTAGGCCCACTCCCTGGCAGTTGGACATCCCTCTCGCAGTCCAGGAGCCCTCCCTCCTTACTGCCTGCTTGCTGCTCCTTAGTGCTGCCATGGAGGCGGAAGAGGCTCCTGCCACTGTGCTCACCAGCCATGAACCCGGCTTCTGGTTTAGCTGCACTCTCCCTGTGTGAGTGCACTGACCACCAGGGGGCAGCTCCTGCATTAAACGTCTGCCCCCTGGTGGTCAGTCCACATGATAGCGACCTGTAGTTCTGGTCATTCTGCCATAACGGTCACTTAGGCTTTTATTATATAGATCATTGTTCCCACATGGCTAAGTTGCTCTCTTTTATGGAAGGTACTTATATTTTGTTGAAAATGTTTATGCTCTGCTCCCATGCTTCCTTGGATGAAATTATAAGAAAGTTTTATATAATAGCCTTTACTTTTAATTTCTTATGTTATAAAGTCTGTGGTTATATTTTCCCCTCCTTCAGAAAGAGTAGATAAACAGTATAAATCTGGGCCTGTCTGGATCCTAGTATTGGCAAGAAGTTATAATGCTGATATTTCTCTTTTTCATAGGTCTGACAGTGTCTATACCAGGGATGGAAAAAGCTTTACATCAGTATACATTAGAGCCTTCAGAAAAGCCCTTCGACATGAAATCTATTCCTCTTGCTATGGCTCCTGCCTTTGAACAAAAAGCAGGTAATGGGACGACTTCACTCTGTTAGTGTTTCTATGTTTAAGTAGTGTTATTAGCATATTTTCTCTAATACATCCTTAGTTTGCTTAATTGTCACTCTGCATTTCTAAATCTTTTTAGAACTATGGTGGATGATGTTTTTAATTAGGTTTTAAATTATTTTTCTGGTTTTCACATAAAAGCTCAAATATGAAGTATGACCAGATTGAAAGTTTTTCTTTTTCCGTGCTTAGTATTGCAGAATCTGAAGTTAGCTGTCACTGTGTGTCTCAGAGCTGCAATTGTGCTGTCACCTCCTGTTTTTATTTTCTGAAGTTGGTAATTCCTTAATTTTACTATTGGAGGTTTGTCTTGAAAGAATGTATGGGACAAGATCATAAAAAAATGTTCCCATGGGATAGCTAACTATAAAATTAAAAAAGAAGGAAGGAAGGAAGGAAGGAAGGAAGGAAGGAAGGAAGGAAAAATGTTTAATGGTCAGACTGAGAAAGAATGATCTTAACTTTGAACCTTTTCAGTTTTTCTGTTGATACTATACAAGTAATTTTTCCTATTTGAATCATGAGAAGACTTGTTTTATAAATAGTTCCTTCTTTTGAGAATATTTTTTTGTACATTCTTGCCCATTTAAAGCAAATACTATATTTTAGGGCTTACTTTATTATATCACAAAATATGTTCACTAAGTAAATTTTAATTTGAACATCTCTCTAAAAAAAGGTGACAGAAGCCTACTGGTGTTTTTAGCTGTGGCTTCTTTTATGTGTGTTAGAAGCTTCTGCCCTGATGTCTTTCTGTCTGCATTTTCAGCTTGATAATGGGAGGAAAGCTCACATGATTGCTCATATCTGTCTTTTTAGAAATCACACTTGTGGCTACTAAGTCAGAGAAGTTGGCTCCTTCCAGGCAAGACATTTTCCAAGGTATGGCAAATTGATGGGTAGAAGTAATAGTCTGCACCCTAGGCATTATAAATATAGTGAAGTGCACTACTTTCATTCAGTTTGAGGAATTCCCAGGGCAGGAAATCTTTGTGTGGCTGAATATTTGTTGTTATAGGTTATAGTTGTTGTTCTAGGTTATAGTTGCTGGGGCTACCTGAAGTCCATGGAAAATTACAATTGCCTAAGCTAATGTGCTAACTGGGAATGTTGTTCTTCATATCCTAGGTAACAGGGAACTCAAATTCTAAGAAATTAGGAATATAAGGTTTTTTTGCTTTTAGTAATTGAGTATATGAACTCTTAAAATATTGATTTATTAAAGCTTGGGGATATATCAGAGTTTAATTATTAGCTAGGTGATGGAAACTTAAAACATCATGAGCATCTAGAATAATGTCCTCCTAGATTATTCTCATTTTGGGTCATCTTCTCATTTTGTTTTCTTCCTTATTTTTTTTTTCTTGATAGAACAATTGGCTGCTATTCCTGAGTTTATGAATCTGGGACCCTTGTTCAAGTCTTCTGAGCCTGTTCAGCTTACAGAAGCAGAGACTGAATACTTTGTTCGTTGTGTCAAGCACATGTTTACCAATCACATTGTGTTCCAGGTGAGATAAGTTCCCTACCCAGCCCCTATGGGAGCTTACTAGGCTTGGAGACCAGTATTAACTCCCCTGTAATTTGTGATTCTGGTAGTTCTTTTTATAGAGAAGGAAAGGAACTTAGCAGCATTTCTGGTTTTCCTTCCCATGGCTACAGAGATGCCTTCGTATGATGGGTTAAAAACTAAAAGGACTTTAAAATATCTGGAAAAGTTTCACAACATAAAGTATAAGCTGCTAAAAAATAATCACCATTTAACATAAGGATAAAAGCTTAGCTTCTAAGAATCAATTGAAATCCATTAAATATCTGCCATCTTGTTTTGGTAGAACTAAGTCGCAGGAAAGAGAAAAAAAATGAGTGAATAATATAAACCCCAAAGCCTCAAGGATAAGGCTGTCCCTGTTACCTAAAGAAAAACCTTAGGAGGAGACCTACAGTACTGTTTGGGGAGGAAAGGTATAGTGAATTCCAGAACTGAGTTATGGGTTATGGGGGGGAAGGAACAACTTGCTTGCAAACCATTCTTATCCTTCATAATGTTTTTCTGTTTGCTGACTTTTCAGTTTGATTGTACCAACACTCTCAATGACCAGCTACTGGAGAAAGTGACCGTGCAGGTGGAACCGTCAGATTCCTATGAAGTGCTGTGTTGTATCCCAGTCCCCAGCCTCACTTACAATCAACCAGGAATATGTTACACTCTTGTCCGTTTGCCTGATGATGACTCTTCAGCAGGTACTAACCCGCAGAGGGGAAGAGACACTTACATGATTAAGAATGCATTACCACTTGAGCTCTTAAATGTCTGGACACATGTTTGGGGTTCAAGAATATGGTTCTTTTCTAGAATTAAGTGTAATGATAGTGACGATGTATTTATAGTTATATAATTAGTGCTGCAGAAATAGTATTTATAACTAAATCTCTAAGTAGAATTTGCTGGACATTTAATCTTAAAAAAGAAACAGAATGTGTAGAGGGGCAGCCCCAGAAGGACGTCCGGCTTTCTGATAGAACAGCGTAACCACTGATGAGGATTCGTCTGTCTGACGTCTCCTGTAAGGAGCACGGCCTACTTCTCCCTGGTATTTCTTTCCAGGGCATTGTAAGGGCTTTTTATTAGTAGATCCAGGGCATTTTAAAATATATTGTCTTTGAGGGACTGCCGGCGGTCGCCAGCCTTTTGGACCACCGATTGGCGACCGCTGCTATACCACAGTGCTGGCATCTGAGTGTATGTCTCAGCCCAGTAAAGGTCTTAATCAACATTTGTGTATCCACATGGGAGGAAGGCTTTGTAATTCTTTCCTGGATTCCTGTGGAGTCTGGGTGGGAGTGGGGAGGGTAGCTTCTAGTGCCCATAATAGTATTTATAGGTTCGGGGACTTGAGGTCTTCTGACCTACCTCTTGTGAATGTCTAGTGTGTGTTGTACTTGATATTTTCCCCACCTGTGTGCTTCTTCTCATTCTATATTCACTAAGGAGTATTCACAATGGTTACCTGGTTTTCACAGAAATAAGCACACACATTGCATTTATGTTTTGAAAAACTTTTATTAGTAGTACTGGAAAAAACATTTATTACTTCTAGTACAGGAAAATACAGTGTTTACTACTAGTACAGGAAAAACAATTTTTACTACTGATACAGGGATAAAATTTTACTACTAGTACAGAATAAAACAGATAATAGTTAACAAATATTGAGGAAGGTACAGAGTTACAAGAAATCGTAAAAGTACTAGTGAATTGTTATCTCTGGTCATCATTCAGTTACATTAGGGGCTTAACCTGCCTCCTTTTAGCCCCTTTCCAAGCTCCCTTTTTAGATGTTGTTTCTGGGAACCCCTGCTCAATCATATCTCTGTTGGATGATAGACCAGGCTACTCACTCTAGCACGAGGTAGATTCACATTGGCACTGTTGCGGGGTCTGAATCCCAGGTTGTTCCCTCGGCCCCCCGGGTGCAGCCACCCTGGATCCATAACCCGCTGGGTTAGGAAGGCACTTTCCTATCTGGCCTCTAGGATTTCTCCTTCAAGCTTGAGGCCGTCCAACTTTAACCTTTCATTACCTCCCTTATTCCTTAATGAGGTTTCTCTTGTTCCATTCCCTTTTAGCTTCACTTTCTTTCCTGGTCTATTCCCCTCTAGTTAGACTTTTCTAAAGTATGTCCACCAGCCAGAAACGTAGCTGACTGTATCTTATGTAAAGGTAGTTTTATTTACTCTTGTTCCAAATCATTATCTGGGCCCAGTCTTAAAGTAGCCCCGTGGCTTCCGCCACCATCCTGGGATAATCTTCACTTTTATCAGTTTTCTCAAGTGGCCTCCTCTACTTCTTTTATAATTCTTCCTCGTCTGGTGCTTCTCACCAAGTTTCTGCTTTTTTTAAGAAAAGCCATTACTTCGCCACTTAATTTTAAAGGGAAGCAAAATGCTTTGAACCCATTGAATAATCAAGCTTTTCCCAAGTGAGAACACTAGCTCTTCCCTTTCCAGGTTCACGTGGATAACTGATAACTTAGGTGCCTCACAGACCCCAGTGAATGTATTAACAGAAGACAGTAAATACAGTTTTACAATATCAAAATACATAAGACAACAGTATTGAAATTACAGCAATCACATATAGTTCAGGAGGAAATAACAACAACACCAACAACAACAACAATAGAAACTTTTATACTAAGAGAGTAGGTACAGGGGAGGTTTTCTGACCCCTCTGTAGTGAGGGGTTAATTTCTTTTTAAAAAAGTATATCTTACAAATTAGCCCAGAGGTTTCAACCTTTGATCTGCTGGCTTCAGGCTCTTTTGCTTAATGCTTTGTTCATATTTTATTAATAAAAATTTGGCATTTGGAGAATTTTTTTTTCCTATTAAATTCAAAGGGTTTGCTGATTTGGTGCTAAAAGTCAGTTATAAACATTTATCATCCCATCTTGGAGAAAAGTCTCAGCACTTGGACTTTTCAAACTGCTTTATATTTGACCCATCATCTACCTGCTTAAAAGCAAATTCCTTCCTATTCCTTTGTTTTTGTCAGAAATTCTAAAATTTTTAATCTATGGCCAATCCAAAGTCTTTGCTGTACAATGAATAGAAGTAAAATACCAGGACATAGATGGTAATAAAAGTCTTTTACCCATTCCTTCTTTTTCCCATTGCAAATATTCAAATTTTACCAATCACCTGAATATCTACACATCACCTCTACTTTGTCTCATCTCAGAAAATATATTTTCCTTATAATCACAAGGGGAAAACATAAATTATATAGATCATGATTTCCTTCAACTTGAAAATTATATAGCACAGTAGAAAGGAATATAGGTTTTAGAGCTACACAAATTGGGATTTGAATTCTGACTCTGATCCATATAGACTGCGTAACCATGGACAAGCTATTTGATCTCTGTAAGCCTTTCAGGATTGTTGAAAGGATGAAATATCATTAAATAAGGTCGTTACCATAGTGCCAGGCATGTAGTAAATACTCAATAAACAGAAGCTATTTTTGTTTCAATTCTGGAACTATCTACTTTCTTCCTTTATCCTCTTTAAAAAGTAAGTCTTCCACAGTTGACTTTTTTCCTCCAAAAAATCATTCAATTATTTTGTCTTTGCTGTATCTTTAAACTTTCCCATTCTCCCGTACTTTATAACTGTACAAAAAATCTACACCGTCTGAAAAATGTGCTTTAACCCAACATCAAGATAGCACCTTAACTCCTTCCCTCAATTTATGGGCAATTTGTGAAAAGATTAAGTCTCAATTCAATTAGTCCTACTTTTATATTCTAGCCTCTAACAATTACTGCTTTAATCAAAACTTTTAAGAAAAGCCTTTCAGGCAGCATTCTTTCTTAGCAACCTTTCTCATTCAGAAACTTTTTCTTCTGAATAGCTATTGCATCAGTAACACCAAATTTAAATAACTCATTTAAAAAGTCTTCAATAGAAAATATACATACTAACAACAAATTTCATAGTATATCAGTATGAGTTGCTTTTCTCTGTTTTTCATTAGGGATGCTGCCTCCCAATTAAAAATTCATAACTCTTTCATATATACTTCAGTTCTCGACATTCTGCCTACACTTTTTTAAACCTCCACCTTAATTTGAGCTACCATAGGAATGTGATGGACACTGAATTCTTTTCTGAATTTGTAGTCGTTCTTCATTATTTGTTGTTCAGGTTTAACCATATTAACTCCTGACACTCGGTATTAAATCTACAACTTCAATTAAGTAATTGATTTCAGAATATTTATTTCCTTTGACTCATCTCCGTCTTCTCACTGGGATCCATACTAATGCACCTTGATAAAATTTATATTCTTTATAGCTAAAGCACATAATTTGAATTTTTACTTAGATGATAAAAAGGATAGAACGTTACTTTTATCACCACTTCCACTGCCTTTATAGCTAGAATTTGTATCAGTCTAGCCTTATATCAATATTCCTCCAATATGACAAATTATGACACTGAACAAGATTCCCAGATTGAAAACTCATTATTCACCTTTCCATTCATCTTGTAACCAATCATCCTTTGATCAAACACAATGGAATTTCTAAAATTCCCTCTATACATTCAACCTGTCACCATCTGGCCTTATTATTGACCCTGTACCTGTTACCTCCTAGCTTCAGACAATGGCAATCAGATTTCAACTGAACAGGTGGGTATTGCATCCCGCCTCTTTCTCACACAGCAGTCATATCAATACAAGATGCAAATTATTCAGTGTAGTCTGCCAACACAGCCAGGCATTCTTACTGCCATTAGAGCTCATCAAGTACTCCCTTCTCACATCAGCCCACATATTAAGAGTCCTTAGCTACGGGACCAAACCTTGGTGCACTCCCTACTCACTCAAGGTCAATCCAAGGGTGCATCCCTCTATCCATCCAGGTGATATCTCCGCTACATCCATTTGCTCTCCCTCTGCCTGGACCAGGGTCCCGTAAAACGATTCTGACATGCTTGAGTCTCATACCTCCACCTCCTCACCTGCTCATGCTTCGCCTCTCTGCCCAGCTCTCCTCTCTGCCCCTTCCACCCAGTGATTCTCACCCGAGGGTGCATGACCCCCCAAGGAGGCCTATTAGCAACATCTTTGGGGTGTGTTTTTGTGTTTTCTTTTGAATTTTTTTGGTTTTGTTGTTTCAAAAAGTGTACTGCCCCCCCTTCAGATGGTGTGAT